TTAAAATTTTTTTTTTTTTTTTTTTTTTTTTTTGTACAATATTATTATTTATTTATATTTTACGTAATTATAATCCTATTTTAATATATCATTTTATTTTCGTTGTTTTTTTTTTAATTTTTTTATAGTTTTTACTATTATATTTATTAAGTTATTTATTTATTTAGCCCGATTTTTATTTTTATTTATTTATTTTTATTTTTATTATATATGTTTATTTATATTATTTCTATTTCTGTTATTGTTAATTCAATTTAAGGGATTTTTATTTTTTTTTTTTATTTTTTGTTATTTATTATATGTGTTTATTTATTTTATTTCTACCTCTGTTATTGTTAATTCAATTTAATTTTAATTTTTCATATAAATTTTGTTTGCCATTTTATTTTTACTTTTTATTTGTTATTTTATTTATTTATTTTCTATTTTTCTTTAGGCTATTTCTTTTCTTAGGCTCCCTAAACTTCATTCCCTAAGATTTCACTCTTCATTCCATTCGCTCCACTGTGCCGCAGCTCCAATATGTATTACATTGCCCTGCGATTGGTGGCCGTACTTTGCGAGCCTCCTTCCAGATGGAGCCTTTGTTGGCCCTGTTGGCTCCAACTGTGTAAGCACTGGCTGTAAGTGGGGGATACATTGTTGCCGACTCTGCCAGCCTGGAAGCCTAGTACCTTTTACAGGAGTTTGTATCGCGACTACATCGAAATTTACATGCCACGTGCCACACGCCAAAGTGGGGCAACCCTTACAGCTGGGCCGAACCACAACAACCACCGAGGTGAGTCCACACTCTGTATCTATGTATGTGTGTGTGTGTGTGGACCATGTAAGTGCTTGCTTCTGGCTGTTGGCAGTTGGCAGCCTTCTGCTCCACAGTTCGCTGGGTCCCTAGTACAAGTTTGCATATTTCTAAATTCTAAGCGCATCTGTTGAGCGAAACCAGGGTCCCTGCAGGGTTCCTAATCGAAAACGAGAGTAAAAAAAAACGCTGCAGACGCACCCTCAACAATTTACGTTGTTTAGCATACCAGAGTGCTGGCAAGCAACACAGAATAGTCTAGATGGGGGCGTAGTTAGCGGAGGTCTGCTAGACTGCGAGATGCCCTGTAGAGCAGACACAGTACAAGAAGAGCTGGACTGCAAAATTCATTAATTGATTACGATAAAGAATTTAAATGCATTTTTTATATATATACAATATTTTATTGTTTAAATAAATTTCAATAAATAAATAAAAATTGATACAGTAAAATATCCATTATTTTTACAAAATATATAAATTTTGTTGCGGTAATATTAAGTTTTTATATTAACAAAAAAATGTTATCTTATCTGCAAAATCTTATTTACAAATTAAAAATGGTTCAGTAAATGATTCATTTCCAAATAAAATACAAATTTTAATTTCTGGTTTATTGTAATTATTTCTTAAAATTAAATCTATAAAAACAATTCATTGAGCATAACCTGTCAATGATTTATCATAGTCACTCCCCCGCCCTCTGCACAAATTAAGAGGTATTCACGTCTGCGCCACACAGCGAAGAGCAGAATGGTAGAGAATAGCAACAACAAGAATAGGAACAAAATAAGAAAAGAACAGAAAATCATTTCCTCGATAACATCAACACAATCTCATAATAGAGGCGCTGCAGACAATTGGCACCCCGACCGCAGGATCCGAAAGGATCTTTTCACTTTTTTTTGAAGCAGGCTCGTGTTTTTTTTTTCCATGCCACACTTCCTGGCCACAAGATGCTGCAATTTGAGGGTGCCTCAACCATCTTTCACTTTCAATGAGCCACACAACAAATACGAAAAAAAAACAAAGAAATTATAGAAAAAAAAACGCATAGAAATAAAAAAAATCGACGAGGATCTCAGTTTTTTATGCAAAAGATATGAAGACGAGGGCGCCATGTGGTGCGTGTGCCAGGACCCAGGTTTTTTTCTTCATTCTTGGCTGTATGGTTTTTTATGCCAAACGGATATGCGATATGGGCTGGGGCGTAACGAGGCACAATCTTTCTATTCCCTGGCCAAGTCAATGGCTTTTGTGGTCGCGCCTAGCACGCGTCTCCAGCCGCAGCGGCAGCCGTAGTCGAAGGCTGCGTCGGGCAGCTGTTGTCCTGGCAGCAGCAGCTCCTTGATCCTTTTTGCATATGTTGCAGCTGCCACCGACGCATGACACTCCTGCCCCCTGCCCCTGCCCTTTCCCCTTCCCCACTTTCGCCTGCCACTGTCAGCTACTGGGCTGCAGCTCAATCAACTGATTGTCCACTTGAGCGTGGCCAAGAGGACAGCAATCGATGTCCTACCTGCGGCTCACCTCTCCCGCACACCTTTTCGACCATTCAAATGTTAATTGTTGTCAACGCATTCGTCACACTTTTCCTGCGACACTGGACAATGGCCAGAATGTGGTCCGGGATGAGATGCTGCGTTAATAATGCGATTTGCATTTCCCTTTCGCTTGGCCTTGGCCCGTGTCCTTGTTTAGCCTGCTGTTTGATTGAGCTGTGTCCATTATCCACCTTAATCCGCACCTTTTCTTTGCCGCTCGTCCTTTTGTGCCGCATGTCCTGCCCGCCTGCCTGCCTGCCGGGCAGTCTGCTTCGGCTTAGCCCAATTTTGTGCGCATCTCTTGATTGACAGCCAAATGCCACTGGACACGGCTGGACCAATGCCAAGGTGAGCAATTAAAAGGTGACATCCTTCCAAATCAATCTTCAATTATAGTCCACAATATGTTTCATATGTATCAATGGCCCATCTAATCTGAATAAGGAATATATGCTGCTATTTTATATTCACATATTTCATTAGCAAAAATTAAGGAAAATCTAGAAATTTTTTTTATTGTATAATTTATTGTCTATTTTTAATGCATTTAGAGTTTTTATTTTATTAATACGTAATTATTAGTCTTAAAAATAAGTTTACTATTTAAAATAAAATTAAAAAACAAAAAATTTGTTGCTTGCCGAAACCCGGGATTGAACCGGGGACCTTTAGATCTTCAGTCTAACGCTCTCCCAACTGAGCTATTTCGGCGCTACGTTTGTTCGTGCGCGTAACGTGATTTAGTTGCTCAGCCATAGGTTATATCAAACTTGATGAAGCTTATCTAATCACTAGCTAGCAAACAATATAAATAGAACTTTTGCCCGGGCCACACAGTCTTCAGGCAAGCGTTTACACACATTAATAAGCGTACATACATATAGATATGCTTATATGTGTGTACATGTGCGCTTATACATTTATAACAGAAACTTTTCAATTCTATCTTGCGCTTGGGCAGACGCTGGCTATGTCTCAGTGTCAGGGCTGAAGAGTGCTGCCAAATCATGTTTGTTCCGCCATGATAGCACAAGGCATCTAATGAACTGTTGGGGGCGGGGAAGGTGTGCCTGCCCGGTCGGTCGGCTGGATGGGGGGGTGGTGTGCAGAGTGGGGAGTGGGCGCAGTGTCGCACACATAGCTTTAGCTGGGCAACAAATCAGCCAGCGACCAAACCAGAAATGTAGCTGAGACTCTCCAACTGAAGCTGTAGCTGAAGCTGAAGCTGAAGCAGAAGCTGCGACTGCGACTGCGACTGAGACTAAGACTAAGACTGCGACAGCGGACTGAGACTGAGGCTATGGCTTTGGCTTCGTGTTGTCGTTGTAAAAATGTTTGCTTGCACGCTTTCCAATGGTTACTGCGGCTGCTGCTGTGCTACGGCTGCTGCTGGTCGTGCTTTGCGGTCGTTGCCCTGCTGTGACGTCACCGGTTCAATGGCAAAATGTGACCCAGATTGTCTGAGCTGCACAACTAAGCTGCGGCTCATAGCACCTTTGAGTGTGTTACTATATTTATATATATATATGTGTGTATGTGTGTGTTTATGTGTGGGCTCTTCAGAACGAAGAGAGCGCGCGAGCATGCCGAAACAGGCAGCAGAAGAGAGCGAGCTAAGAGCACTCTTGGAGCACGGCTTGTAAGCTGAGCTGCCCGTGCTTGCCCTTGGCTGTAACCCTTTGATATTTTGGACACCAGCAGCTTTCCATGCCTCTCTTACCGTCTCTACGAAAATGGGGACACTCCTGGCGAATAGCAGCGTTGGCATCGGCATCGGCTCGGCGTCGTCGTCGTCGTCGTCAGCGGCAGCGTCGGCGGCTGCACAATTGTTTTTGTTGCCGTGTCTGTGTAATTATCGGGCCGCGTGCATGTCCATGCATGCCCAGTTCCAGTGCCAGTGCCAGTGCCAGTGCCAGCGCTGGGAGTCAGGCCCAGGCCCAGGCACAGGCCCAGGCGGCAGTGTTGCGTGTAATTTGTTATTTTATTTTATTGTTATTATTACCGCATGCGACGTGCACTTTATTTTCATTACCAGTTTGGATTCTTTTCATGCATACACCCAAGTGTAACTTTGTATGGCTCCATGTTGGGCTTCAGGTCTCCATCTCTGTTGCCCACTCGCTCGCTCTCTCCCTCTCTCTCTCTCGCTCTCTGTCTATGTCTGTCTCTCTTTGTCACTCTGGTGTGTGAGCGCATCTAATGCATGCATCGGAATTACTTGGAGGCTTGTGCACGTGTGAATGTTGCCGGCGGCACTGGGCGCGGGACTGGGTGGCGACTGCAACCGTGCGGAGTTGCTTGCCCGGCACGTTTGAGAGCACCTACAAGTCTAATTGGAAATGCATAAATGGCAATTGATGACGATAAATAAAATGTTGATATTCTCAGTCCCATATGCAATACATTATCCATGACCATGCTCATTCCGATTCCCGTATTATCGTTTCCATTACCAGAGCCAGTTATATAATCGAGGCCTTAGGCGTGATGTCGGCTGTTCGCTTGATTAAAAAATGAAATCCCCTTTTGTGACAAATGCCGCAATATTACATATGTATGTACATATGTATGTATATGCAGCTTCCATGAAAATATCCCACGTAATAATTCCCTGATCTCATTCCCACTATTATGCAAGTGTTCCCACAGTCGTGCACGCTGCTTGCTGCTGGCTGCTCCCTGCTCCCTGCACCCTGCGCGCCTACAACACATAAAGTCAAGCAAGTGTCCAAATGTCAATTGGGGCTAATAATGTGCGCAACTTAAATGCGCGTCAATCTGGGCAATTTTGTGCAATTCATTAAAACGATTTCGATTCTGATTTGATATTGGTGCTGAGCAGTTAATTGCGCTTTTAACGATGAGCGCGCTTCTCTTGCTCTCTTCATATATATACATATTTCTCTTCCCACACACTCACACACACACACAGGGACTCGTACTATGAGCCGCTCAGGCAACTTGAAAAGCCCAGCTCATATAAACTTGTAATATTCATGGCACAAGGCGAGTCGTGAGAGCGTGCACCAAAGAGAAAGAGAAAGAGGCCGCTGCTGCTGTCGCTGGCTCTGCCGCCGGTAGGCGCTTTGAGTGGGGGCCAGTTTCCACTCACACGAAATTAACAATATTTATATAAACAAGTTATAAACAATGTTTGTCTAAGCAGTGACAAACACTCACCCATACCAGCAAAGCTGCGAGCAAACTCTCACACACACACACACACACACACACTCACATACACCACACGCACACACAAACACACGCACTTCCACTGGCAGGCAAACCAGTTCGCAGCTGGCGCTCAGTCGCGCTCCCACAAAGTCACATGGCGCTGCGCTTCAAATGCATTACATGAACGTAGCGACGTCAAAGTCGACGCTGGCAGCGCAGTGACGCCGCGCTCTGGCATAGTACTTCCGCATTACTGCAGCTCCAGCAGTGCAAGCTGTTGGCTCTCTCTCTCTTTTGCTCGCTCACTACGTTGGCTGTCTGTCTCCCTCTCTTTGCGTGGTACTCTCTCTTCGAGTTGCGCTCTCTCTCGCACACGCGATCAGCTGATTTTGTTTTGCTTGAACTTTTGCCGGCTGAGGCGACTCAGCATGCGTATGTGTGTGTGTTCACATCGAGCTATGCATGTATGTATGTATGTTTGTTTTACAGCTAAAAGAGACTAAATAAAAAGCAAAAATGAAAACAAATTTTTAAAAATTTGAAATGCTTTACACATTTGCATGTCAGGCGCAGGCTGCAACGCTTGCGGCGACAGCGACCGCAACGGCGATGGCGAAGGCAACTGCGACCCTGCCCAATGTCAATCACAGAGCTCTGGCCCTGGCCCTGGCCCCCGAAGCACGAGTTTTTGGCTTACAAAGAAGCAGGCCAAAAGCAGGAGGAACGTGTTTCCAAAGCCATTACAACAAGCTCGGCTTGTGTGTGTGCGCCTGCGTGTGTGTGTGTGTGAGTGTATGTCTTTATGAGTGAGCTTTTGTTGCAGGTTTACACTGACAATGAAACCCAAATATAATACATATGTATATAAATATGACTCTCTGTCCCTGTGCGTGTGTGTGTGTGTGTGTACATGCCTTAAGTCAGCCGCAAAAACACAACAAAAATGTTCATATGTACGCACATAGAATCGAAACGCACTTAACCAGACGTGCAAGTGTGTGTGTGTGAGTATGTTTGTGTGTGTGCTTTGGGCCTGGCCTCCAACTAGCGCACACAACTTGGTTACAGCTTTGTTGGTATTGTGCCTGTTACACGCTGCATGCTTATGTATGGCACACACACACACTCCACTCACATATGGTTTTTTTCTGTTTATTTTTTTTTTTTTTGGTTTTTTGGGAGGTGAATGGCCGCAACTGTCGTTGCCACTTTGGTAACACCGTGGCGCATTAAACGTAGCAGCCGCCGCGGCCAAAGCCAAAGCCAAAGCCAAAAGCCAAAGAAGCCAACAGCGTCGTCATCAGCTTGGCCAAGCGCTTTTGGCCAAAACCAAGACCAAGGGCTGGCGGTGCTGAGGAGCTGTGGGGCTGAGGGCAGAGCCCCAATGTTTAATTTGCTTTGCATTTTGTTTGGCCAAAATCCAGCCAAGCTGTTTGGCTTATGATGATGACGCTCACTAACTGACTGACTGACTGACTGGCTGACGGATTGATTGACGGACTGACAGACGTGCAGACTGACGAAGTGACTGCTCTGACGCGAACGTAACTCACGCGTTTTTATGGCCCCACTAAAGTCGATTTTGGCCGTTTTTAGGGTTTTTCTTCTGCTTCCCACACTCAGAACCCGAACTGATCCTCTGCAGAGCTGGCCATCTGAGTATATGCACGTGTATGTGCTCGTGTGCGTGTGTGAATTGAATAATCAAATGTGTTATGAATATCTTTATAACTGCTATTGATATACAAAAGAACGTATGTAGATCGCAATAAATTAGATTTGCGACAGATTAGCCCTTAGTTATGTAATTCAATTATCTTAATGTGATATGAGACTGGAGTTTTAAAGAGTAGAGCGATCTAAATAAGTTATGTAAATGAAGATTTTTCCGTTTCCCTTTTTGTTAGTTGAAGAAAATACAAAGTATATAAATTATATTATTCGTATAGAATAAGTAGATACATATGATCATAAAAATAAGTATATCAAAGTGTTAATAGATAAATCAATAGATAGATGAATGGAAATGGAATAGCATGACTGAGAGATAAAGAAACATATATAAAGCTTTTAAAGATTTAGGTTTATATACAGGAGCAAAATTCATATACAAAGGCGATAGAGTTTAATATATGATAGATAAATAAAGATATATTAGCATCTAGAGGTCCATAGAGTTCAAGATATATAGATTAGAGTTACATCGATTAGATTAGAGAACAAATTTACTGCTTGTTTATTTACTGAATTGAAATGTATCTGAAAGGTAGATGGCTAGAATTACATAAGTACATATTCAGATAGACAGAAATAATAAACATATATATAAACATATATATGAAATGCAACTAACCATTCAATATGTTAATTTAAGCACTTTAAAGATATATTATATATAATTATATTATTCACTTAAAACCAGCGGTATTTATAACGATGTAATTATATATCTTTATACATACATATATGATCTTTTTAAGATTTATATGATGTAACGAATCTTCACGTTCCAAAACTGTCTGAAGCTCAGGAATGGA